CATAATGATGAGAAAAAAAGTCCAAGACCATCAATCAGTACAGAATGTTCCCATTTGTACAAGTATAGATACATTTTATATATATATATGCATAAAAATGTTTGTATGTATAGAAAATTACCCCTGGGGAGTAGTTTGAAGTAGATCAACATAGAATCATCATTGACATTCTCATTATCAATATCTGTACCTTCACAGAGGTCTCATTTCCAAGCCTCCCCTTCAATCTCTGCACAAATTATCAAAGCAGACAAAAAGAAAAGGGATCATCTGAGTAGGTCTCTATTAAATAAATAGAATCAATCCTTAATAAGTTTCCAAAAAGACAGTACCAGGTCCAGATGATTTCACTAGTGAGTTCTACCAAACACACAGGGAGAAATGATACTGATTCTCCACAGTGTCTTTAAGAAAATAGAAGCAGAGGGAATGTTTTCTAACTCATTCTATGAGACCAGCATGACCTTAATACCAAAATCAGATAAAGATGTTACAGAAAAGGAAGACCACAGACCAGTATCTCTCATGCACGTAGATGCAAAAACCCCAAGCAAAATACCAGCAAATAAATCCAACAGCATATAAAAATTATCACACATGGCGACAAAGGGTTTATTCTCAGTCTCTATCCAGTACCTCATCTTCCTCATCTCACCTACCCCAGCTATTTCATCCCAGTAATTCTTTGACATTGTCAAGACTCCATATCCACTGGCTCCCACCACTTTTTCACTGTCCTGATATGTCCCCACACATTCTCCCCTCCTTCCTAGTCAAACTTAAATTTCATGGTCCAATATTATAATCACTCACTTGAAAAGATTCTTAACTCCTTTGCCCTTCTCTCCCTAAATTTAATTTTCCTGACAAAGTCTCACCTTGGTTAAATTCAGCTTTTTTGTGGCCACATTCAAGCACTTGAAGTTGATGAAGAAAAACCTACAGAGCTGCTAAACTGGTCTCACTTGAACTTCATGATTGTACCTGAATACTTCCAGGCATGTCTAAGACACCTCCCACTCTTTAACATGAATATTTGGCCCCTTCTCTCTGCAGACCCTCTGTACCTCCTCCAGTGCCTCACTCTCAGCCAATGACCTTGCCTCATATTTCAATGAGAAACCAGAAGCAAGCACATAGGAACTCCATCCCCCACCATCAAATCTACCAACTAACCAGCATCTTGCCCTCACTCTCTGCCTTCTTTCCTAGTATATGAGGTGTCCCTGCTCCCATCAGAGTCCAAACCTCCCGCTTGGCCTCTGGACTCAGCCCTTCTCACCTTGTCTCCCACAATAATGCCCTCCCTCTCTTGCATTGCCAATTTACCGACTCTACAGAATTCTTCTCATTAACACAAATGTGCTTAGTCTCTCCCCTCTTTTAACAAACCGTCCCTTCACCCCCTGTCTGCCTCCAGGTACCACTTCATTTATTAACTACCCTTCCCAGCAGTCCTTTCTTCCCCCAGACTTTTTTATGAGACATAATATTTGCCCCTTGCTGTTTAATCACTCCCAGGCTTTGGATTCTCAGAGGCCCCAGATATTGTAGAAGAGACTGCTGTGTCCTAGATTCCAAATTCCTGACCCACAAAGTCCATGGGCATAACAAAATGGTTGTCTGAAGCCATTGTGTTTGGGGTAGCTTGTTCTGCAGCACAGTAACTGGAGCATGGCCCAAGCCACTACCCTTTGCCATCTATACTGTTGCAGTGGCCTGCTGCCTACCCATGGCCTCCTTTTGCTGCCTACGATCTACAGTCAACACAGCAACCAAAGTAGTTTTTTAAAAATCTTTGATCAGATTTCATTCCTCCTCTTCTTGAAATTCTCCTCTGACTCCTGTTCCATTCAGATTAAAAATTAAAGCCCCTAAACTGTCCTGTGAGGTCCTACATTAACTGATGCCCATGTTGCTCCTGTTACAGGCTTCCTTACTGCTCCTTGAACACTTTAAGATCTTTGCACTTTCTGTTCCCTCTGTCTGAAATATTCTTCTCCTGGACACCCATATTACTTGCTCCTTCATTTTGCTCAGACTTCTCAGATTGTCACCTTGGTAGGCAGAGCCCCCCCAGATCACCCAGCTCGGTGCGATACTCCCTTTGCTTCTTACTCCGCCTTTTTGTTCTCTTCAGCACTAATCCCACCTAGCCTACTACATGCTGACTTGTTTATCTGTTTGCTTTCCACCCATTAACTGAAATTGCCACGAGGGCATGGGCATGGCCAGTTTTGGTAGTAACAGTGCTAGACCAGTGACTGACACATAGGAGACATTCAATAAATATATATAGAATAGACAAGTGAGTGAATTACTATATCCACATGTTAGAAGGAGAATTCTGCAGACCGTTACAAAAAATTGGCTTAAAAATGAATATATAGTGAATACTATTCAGCCATAAGAAAGAAAGAAATCCTACCATTTGCAATAACATGGATGGAGCTGGAGGACATTATGCTCAGTGAAATAAGTCAGGCAGAGGAAGACAAGTGCCAAATGATTTCTCTCACTTGTGGAATATAACAATGAAGCAAAACTGAAGAACAAAACAGCAACAGACCCACGGACTCCAAGAAGGGGCTAGTGGTTACCAAAGGGGAGGGGTGTGGAAGGGTGGGTTGGGAGGGAGGGAGGGAGAAGGGGATGGAGGGGTATTATGTTTAGTACACATGGTGTGAGAGGTCACGGGGGAGACAGTGTAGCACAGAGAAGGCAAATAGTGGATCTGTGGCATCTTACTACACTGATGGACAATGACAGCAATAGGGTGTGGGGGGACTTGATAATATGAGTGAATGTAGTAACCACATTATTTTTCATGTGAAACAGTCATAAGAGTGTATATCAATAATACCTTAATTTAAAAAAAAAAGAATGTACAGCTTCCTGCTTGTAGTGATGAACCACTGGAGCCCCACAGAAATTTAAAAGAAAACTGAACACAATCTGACTTGCCAATCTAAAGGGTTTTCCTGAGTCATGTTGCCAGATTGGACAACACAGATGCTAGACATGAAAATCTCCAACTTAGTTCCCAGCTGCATATTTTTTGAACAAAATTTATTTAATAAAAACACAGCAGCAACAAAAATAATCATGTTCACTGACATTTCCTAACCACCATCTATCTTTAGCCCTTTACCACCATTGTGACTCCCTGGGTATATGTGGGAGAAGTGTCAGCATGTCATTGGGACCTTTACTTCGTATTAAGAAATGTCTGCTTCAACATGGATGGAGCTAGAGGGTATTACGCTCAGTGAAATAAGCCAGGCGGAGAAAGACAAGTATCAAATGATTTCATGCATCTGTGGAGGATAAGAACAAAGAAAAAACTGAAGGAACAAAACAGCAGCAGACTCACAGAATCCAAGAATGGACTAACAGTCACCAAAGGGAAAGGGACTGGGGAGGGTGGGTGGGAAGGGAGGGATAAGGGGGGAAAAGGGGCACTACGATTAGCACACATAATGTAGTGGGGGGAGGGCACGGGGAAGGCAGTACAACACAGAGAAGACAAGTAGTGACTCTATAGCATCTTATGATGCTGATGGACAGTGACTGTAATGGGGTATGGGGTGGGGACTTGATAATGGGAGGAGTCTAGTAAACATAATGTTGCTCATGTAATTGTACATTAATAATACCAAAATAAAATAAAATAAAAAAGAAATATCTGCTTCAGCAGCTCCTGGTGACACTGTTGTAAGCATTTGACAAATATGTATGTATATGTGTGTATGCATTAATGAGAATTAATTAACTAAGTGAATTAAATGAAATTATGTATAATCTCCTTTTATGGTATAATATCATAATCTATAATAATGTAGTATTTATATAAATATTATATACTATAGATTACTTATATAATCTAACTTAATTCATACAACTCAATAAGGGAAGCAACTATTCGGTATTCACAAAATTTATGTTTTTAGTAAATAAAAGAGTACAAGATCACAAAAGCCTATATTATTTCCGAATCTTCAGGAGAAATGTTAGGGAGAAGCTTTTACCCAGACTGTTTAAATATCGCATCTAAAATCACTGTCCTAATTTGGATTGAAGCCATCCTTCCCACCCAACTGTAGGCATTAAGAATCACACAAATACAAGAAGTGTTGGTATTAATGCCCCGTATTTTCTATTCAGTCCTTAGAGAAGCAGGTGTAAGGGAAACGTCTCTCCCTCATTCAGCACTGCTGCTCTTCTCTCCTTCCCCAAGATCTGCAGAGTTCTCGGACCCCCTGCTGGTGGTCCATGCCCATCTCTACCAAAATATCACTGTCTTGTTTTAGAGCTCTCAAGGGCCGAGTGATCAGTCCATCTGCAGCTGGTCAAAGCTCTCACTTTGAGGTGACGAGTCCTCATCACTAGCATTGTATGACTCAGCCCATGAGCCTTGGTTTCTTCCGTAGTTTCTTCCTTTATCTCTCAGTCCCAAAAGTAGTGCATGTGCTTGATAATATTTACTATGCTTATAATTTAGATAATAAGTTTCAAAAGATATAGAAACAAATCTTATATTAGAGAAAAATCAGAAGATGTTTCTTCTTTCTGGCTTACAGCCTAACATTCTGTGTAAGTCATTAGAATTCTGTGAGTCGTTTCCATGGAAAAAAAAAAAAGCCTGACCATCTATTTCATTGTATGGTATCAGAAGAAGTAAAAAATATGTAAGATTCAATAGTTAATGTGTTACAGAGAAATTCTAAGTCAATGGGATGTATAAAAACTGTGATCACATAATCAGCAATTTAAGCTAGTAGATGATGGTCAAAAATATCACACCATATCTTAGGGACACACTTAAAGTAGAAATATTTCCTGTCATATTCAGCAACAGCTGGGCATGTGGCAAAACCACCTAAACCCAACTTCCAAGTATCAGGGGCACATGGGATGGCCCGCTCATCTTCTCAGTCTGCAGAGAGTCTTGTGGGTACCATGTCTTTCCTCCCACCTTAAATAAAAACAGTAATACCCACCTCAGAGCTACAGCTAGGCATGAGGATTTGCCAGTGAACTGGGAATGCATGTTTGAGTCTCCTTCCATTATGTGGTGGAAACATGGCATGGAACATCACACAGCATCCTGTCGTCCCCTTGGTGCAAACATATGAGCTGATATCTTCTTTGGAGGCCTCCAAAGAAGGAACTGAAGTGTTTATATCTATTCTAAGTCCCTCATGTCTCCACCACTAGTCCATCACCACTGCCTAAGCTGATAATTCACTTTCTTCTTCATGTGCAGACTTTCAGACTTTAAAAGAATCTATCACCAGTGTTTCTAAAATCTGGATCCAGGCTAGGAATTTTCTGCCTTAATATCCACCACTCACTGCTTCCAATCATAGTGTCAGACCTAAAATTCATCCAAGCTCCGTAACGGCTCTAAGCACTAACAAATCAATTAGTCCTCAGCTCCTGGTGTCAGGCTCATTCTGTCAGGCCAATTTTATAGGCAGGAGAGTGAGTAGGAACCTGGCTTTGAAGTCTGTGATGAATGATCCAACAGCAAAGCTGGAGAAACAGCCTTAGAAGCCTTGGATCCCCATCCCCTATCAAATGCCTATAAAGAACCCTAGATTATCCTCCCTCAAATTATTTATAGGTGACAAGGAATATTTCTAATTATATCCATTCACAGCCACAGTCAGCGAATATTGTGCAGATTGCCAAAAAAGGTCTTGCCAAGTAGGTTCCCAACTAGGACAGCTGAGATGGATGCTGTGTTTGCAGAATGGTCTCTATAAAAGTGGAGTTGAGATGCCTCTGTCCCGTCCTTCCTCAAAGTTCTTTAAGGTATGTATATGTGATAGAACACTTGGCCAGTCTTACATTCCTTATGATAATGATGATAATTATTCACTTACAGGAGATGGCTGCTGTTTACCAAATTTTAATTTTTCTTTCCAACATTCCTAAGGATGGCATTGTACACAATGTAATTACTACACTGTGATTTTATTGTACTTTGTGATTAAATGAGAAAAAAAGAGAATCTGCATTCTCGTCTGTTTATCTTTCAACAGGGGTTATCTGCTTTGAGCCTGCCGTCTTCTTCATCTGGTAGCACAGGAGGTAAGTGTAATTTTTTATTGTTATGCTCTAAGAACAGATGAGTCTCTATTGCTATGCCTTTAAGACCTACCATTTTATTTTCTAGTTTAGTATTGGGAATAGGATACAAGGAGCAACTGTTCTTCAACAATGGCTTCTCATGAAATTTTGACTTTTTGGGCCACTTAACCAAACAAAATTTAATGCCATGTCTTTCACATGTTGTTCAAAAAGTTTATAAAAGATGTAATGATCACATGTAATATTTAATGTTAACTACCATTTCAACTTAACCAATAAGAATGTATTGTAGAAATTGAATGGTAAAATCAGCAATGTGTTGATCTGGAAGTCAAAATTTCTAGGTGCCAATGGAAGCTTTTCACTGACTCTAGTTGCCTGAGTCAAGCCAGATGGCTTTTACGTATCTTGAAATACAGTGTGTTGTGGAATTAGCGCTGAACCTGGGCTTAAGGAGAACAGGGCTCATGTCCCAGCACCACCACTTACACCTCTGTGACACTGAATGACCCTTCATCTTTCTGGGCCTTACTTTCCTCAGGAATAAAATGAGGAGTCTGGGTTTTAGTTGCCTGTTAGCGTCTCTCAGGCTCTTGCTGTCTATGATCTAAGTCAGTGGTTTCCAAGTAGTTCTCCACAGAATCAAACTTTTAACAGCATCCTCCAACCCCACATGTTGGGACCTTCCTTTCAGTATTACATTAAGAATATGCATCGTGATGAATACCTACTATGCATTTAATAATTATTTTAAATTAGTTACAGTTTATTCAGCAGGCATATTCACTTAGAAAACTATAGAAAACATATTGTTTGCTTGGTCATGTTGGTTATTTAAACTTGAGGCAATTATCACTGTGCAGGGGGATCCAAGACTCCCTGCAACAACTCTGAGGACCCCTGGGGGACTTGTGAGCCACAAGCTGGGAAACCACTGAGCTCAGATTCTGCGTCTGTGGACACACTGTACTATAGTAATCTCTCCATGGTAGTGTGCTGTTAACTCAAAATTGCCTGGTGTAAAAACAGACACAGAAACAAAAAAATAACCTAACAGAATAACACTGCTCATTCAAAGAAAAATACCCTGACTTTAAACGTTCAATATTATCCCCTGAAAATGTGTCTAAATTTCACTGTCTCACCAAGAGACTTTCACAGGTGTGAGCTAGATTGCTTTTAGAGAGAGCGTGTGTGGCAAATGCTCTGTATAGCACTCTAAGTCGAGAGGAAGTCTAATGTGATGACAAAAAACCAATATGCCTTCTGGAAAACTGTCGAAAGGTTGAGGCTGTTGTCATTGGTTGGCAACCAAGACAGGGCTTCCCAGGAACCAGCCTCTCCTCTGCCCCACAAAAGTCACCGTTGTTAGCTGCTCACTCACCCTGTACTTGCCATCAGGGCAAGAGGACATATTTTCTTGTCATTAATTTGTCAGTGGGAAAAATTTTTTAAGTTTGTTTTGGCTTGAAACTTAATTTCTTCTGAAATGAGAGATGTTTACAGAATTGGTATTTAAAAAAAAGAGGAGGGGAAAAGAGAGAGACCTAAAATAATAAGACTCAGATAAAAACATCTGGTATGCTGAAATTCAGCTCAAAACATAGACTAAAAATATACAATCACTACAAACTTTTTTAGTTCAGGTGTTGTTTTTCTTCAAGAACCTTTTAAAGTTATCTTCTGTTTTGATAATACTGCTGACTCTCACACAGTTTAAGAACCTAATTTTGACCTAGGACAAAACCATCTGTGGCACTGTGCTCACCGCCCCTTTACTTACCTACTATATGCCAGTTACCTAGGAGTTTATTGTGCTTACAGGTTTCCAATCCGGAGTATGTCCTGAAAGAACAGACGTACCTTTTCATACATCCAACTTTAATAACTTTTACATCCAATTTATACATCCGGTTTCAATAATTTGGTGCAGGAGGGAAATTTGCCTAAATATTTGAGTTTTTGAATGGTTCATTTATATTATAAAGCCACTGGCAACAGTTATTTTCCGTTTCTTTGTATCATCACAATGTCAGAAGAGGGGAAGTGGTAAAAGGAAAAGAAAGAAAAGGAGACATATAAAGAGAAGATTCTGAACACAGTTGGGGCACCACAAACGTTGCTGATTGAGAATGTGAATTCTTCCCACATTTCTCAACTAAGGTTTACAATACTGAGGAGGGAATGGAGGCTCAAAATATCATGAAAATTAAACCACCAACATAAGGCTTTTAAAAAAATCAAAGATCTGACCTCTGGGCACCTTTCTGCAGCACGTAGGAAAGATCCCTGAAGCAGCAGTGAGATCAGCATGGGGGTTGAAGCACATCAGGGAGAAAGCAACAGGACACCACCCACGCCCACCCCGGGTCATCGTGCCGTTTCTTCCCTCTAGGTACGCCTGGTGCCCGCGCTGCCGCCAACAACCCGCAGCCATGAGTTCCGACGCCGACATGGCCGCTTTTGGGGAGGCTGCTCCTTACCTCCGAAAGTCTGAAAAGGAGCGCATTGAGGCCCAGAATAAGCCCTTTGACGCCAAGACTTCTGCCTTTGTGGTGGAAGCTAAGGAGTCCTACGTGAAAAGTACAATTCAGAGCAGGGAAGGGGGGAAGGTGACAGTGAAGACGGATGCTGGGGCTGTAAGTAACATCAAAGGATGGGACGCGTACTTGCTCCTTTTCTACTGCTTGGCTGATGCGTGCTGGTCTTCTCTTGCCAGACTCTGACCGTGAAGGACGACCAAGTCTTCCCCATGAACCCTCCCAAATATGACAAGATCGAGGACATGGCCATGATGACCCACCTGCACGAGCCCGCGGTGCTGTACAACCTCAAAGAGCGCTACGCAGCCTGGATGATCTACGTGAGCGCCCCCTCCAAGTTCCTTCTCCCTAGCGCCATGTACTATGTTGGTTGAAACAAAGACTTTATGTTCAGATTGGCTGCTACAATACTGTCTTAAGACTAATCATTGGTTAGTGTTATAAATTCTGGTGTATTTGAAAATGTGCATGTGAAAACCATCTACTTAATGCTGATTTTTTTTTGGAAAACGGAAGCATTTTGCGCAGCTGTGGGTATTGGAGGGCGGCAGCAAATGAATGAATCAAGTAGCCTTGTGAGAACTGCTGCAGTTCTCAGACCCCTCCCACCTTGCTCTTAGAGCAGTATTTCCAAGGCAGATTAATGAGGTGACTGCCAACTAGCAACCTTGTCATTTCCCACAGACCTACTCGGGCCTCTTCTGCGTCACTGTCAACCCCTACAAGTGGCTTCCAGTGTACAACCCCGAGGTAGTGGCTGCCTACCGAGGCAAGAAGCGCCAGGAGGCCCCGCCCCACATCTTCTCCATCTCCGACAACGCCTATCAGTTCATGCTGACTGGTGAGTGACTCCATAACTACACTTTCTATAGCCATTTGTGAAATACTTATATACTAGTAACAGGAAGAGACAGTAACAGTACTGAGAATAAAATGTTCAGCACAAATATAATAACAGTAATAATAATAGCAAAAAATAGGATGCTAACATAATTAGTACAATAATTAATAGTATAGTAATAACAACAATGGGGGGAATACATTTAGAATAGACCAGTTCGAAAAATCTAGGGAATTTAGATAAGGTTTTCATGCTAAATTCCAAATTAATTAATCCAAATCCAACTCAAAACTAACCAAATTTAGGCATCAACTCTGCACTTTAATTATAGCTAATATGTCACCCATCCTAAAAAAGGCAGCTTTAAAAATCTTATAGTGACAAGCTATCACAATTACCATGTAATACTTTGGATTGTACATTAGTAACATGACAGGATTCTGAACTGAACCAGATGACTAAATGAGACATGCAAGTATTACTACTCATCAGGTATTGAAAGATCATTCTCATAGATGGGATGGTGAAATAATGTGCTACATATCTATCACATTAAAGGTAACAGGAGTTTAACACACTGATTAATCAGCATTATCTTTTCCCATTTATTTCAAAAAGAATCTTGTGAAACAAATAAAGCACCAGTTGATACAGCTCTTTATTTTATGAGCAGGGAGGTTTAAAAGACAACTTTGAGTTCACAGGTACTGTGTTAATCTATGTGCTATTTTTTAAAAATATTTCTTTGGTTTCTCTTTCACAGATCGTGAGAACCAGTCTATCCTTATCACGTATGTAGATTTCACACCTTTCTGTTGAGTGTTGATCATTGTGGTGGTTACTATGACCTAAGATTCTTACTTTTTCTTTCATGTGGACTTGACAGTGGAGAATCTGGTGCAGGGAAGACTGTGAACACCAAGCGTGTCATCCAGTATTTTGCAACAATTGCAGTTACTGGAGAGAAGAAAAAAGAGGAACCTACTCCAGGCAAAATACAGGTGGGGAGGAAATTCATTCAAGTACGAAAGAGATTAAATAGACCTTTAAAAATGTGACCAAGGTACTTCAGAATCATAGCTACCAGTTGCATGCTATGCCAGAGTCTGGGAAATAAGCCCTTGGAAGGGCTTCTGAGGATGAGATGTACTGCT